ATAAAATTTTGGGTTTGTTCTTTGGTTTCTCTGTTTGCAGGAGGGGGGGGGGGGGGACTCACTGCAGTTGAACAATTATAGGCCAATATCTAAACTGTGTGTTTTATCTAAGCTCTTGAAGAAATGACTGAATGAACAATTAAAAACCTTTCTGGAAATAAATATTCTTTCCAATCTGGATTTAGAAAGCAGAATAGTACGGTTATTGCTGCTATGAAAGTGTTTAGTGACATTATTAATGCCTTAGACTGTAAACAAATTTGTTCAGCTCTTCTTGATTTATCGAAGGCTTTTGACACCGTGGATCATGGCATACTTTTAAAAAGACTTTGTGGTTTTAAAAGATTGTTCTTCATCTGTTTTGTCAGTTTCCAAAGGTGTCCCTCAGGGGTCTGTTCTGGGACCCATTTTATTTTCCTTGTGTGTGTGTGTGTGTGTGTGTGTGTGTATATATTATAATAATAATAATATTTGCGATAACATTCCCAATGCTAGGTACCATCTTTATGCAGACGATACTGCCATTTAATGCTGCACTTCATCAGCCTCACAAGCTCTTCAGTTCCGTTTGTCAACTTAAGATGGTTTGAAATACAGATAAAACTAGTTTGATTTGTTTTTTTTTTCTTTTCAAATTCCAAAGTTTTACCAAGTTATGTTCCTGATATTATGTCCTTCCAGGGAACAAAAATAGAATGCGTTGTAAGTTATAAGTACCTGGGCATTCTATTTGCACATGCATGTACTTTATATGAGAAGGCAGAGTTACCATCTCTGTGTACTGGAAGAAGTTTTAATTAGTATTGTTTCATTTAAGTCTATTTGTGGTGTAACTCCATCTTACTTGTCTGTCAGTTTTTCTAATATAGATGTGCGCTATAAACTTCGCTCAAATGATCTGTTATATTTCAAAGTTCCTCGGGTTCGAACAGAGCTAGGAAAAAAGGGTTTTGGATCTAATGCGTCTTTGGCTTGGAATAATCTACAAAACATCTTAAAGTTTACCATGCTTCTGTCATTAAATCAGTTTAAGCTACTTTTAACAAATGATGTGTTTTATCCTCTGGTAATGTAACGGGGTTGGTGAGACGTGTGGATCCATCTGCAGGCTTTATTAAAGAGACGTAGTACACAGGCAGGGTCAAAACAATGGCAAACAGGTATACGGCGGGCAAAACAAGAATAGTCCTAGGGCTAGCGTAGGTCACCGATCAGCAGACAGAATCAAAGGGGCGAGACGAGAGGGAGAAATCCAAGGAAACAGGCAAAGATCAAAAACAGGCAAGGCAAGGCAAAACAAGGGAGACTCGGAAAGGGGTGCAGGCAAAACACTACTCAGCAGAGAAATGTGGTTAGAGTGGGTGTTATATAGTGAATGAGATAATTAGAAACAGCTGTGTGCAATGAGTGCAATCAGGGCAGTGTGCAAATTGTGCAAAGAATGATGGGAAATGTAGTCCGGGGTGCTATGCAACAGTTTGTGTAGTGCGAGAGTCAATGAAATGGAAAGGGTGACCTCTGGTGGTGAATAAACAGAAGTCCATGGACTGAATTCGTGACA